GACCTCACCCTTGCTGCGCAAGGGGAAGACTGTGGTGTAACGCGAGTAGTCGTCAACCACCAGCAGGAAGTAGCGCTCCTGACCCTGGCCACGGACGCGGGCTGGGCCCCACACGTCCATGTGAAGCGTCTGCAACGGGGCCTCTGTCGGAGGAAACTGGGAGGAGTGAGGGGCAGCACGCTGGCGCCCCTCGACACAGGGGACACAGGCAGGGCCAGGGCCCAGAGGGAGGGGAGGGAGGGACCGGGGAAGACCAGACACAAGGACTCGCGAGGCCATGCCTCTGAGCCGAAGCAGAGAGGGGTGGCCAAGGCGGTGGTGCCAGAGGAGGGTCTCGTGAGACAGACGACGACACGAACAGGGGGCAGACTCAGGACCAGACCTGGACGCTGCAGCAAACACCTGACCAGACGAAGGGACCCTACCAGACGAAGTACCTGGAGGAGAAGCAGTGGTCAGTGTGTACAGGCTCGACCCTGGCCGACGTGTAAACGTAGCCAGGTGGCGACCTGTATCCGCCTCCGTGCAGTGGGTCACCCGCTGACGAGCAGGGGTGAACTGGTGGACACCCGCATCCTGAAGGTCAGCACCACTCACCAAGTTCGTCGAGAACGAGGGGAGGTAGAGACCAGTCAGGGTGCCAGAGGGGGCCGCCGGACACGGGAGGACAGTGGAGAAGCGAGACAGGACAGGCCCCCCAGAGGGGTCAGCCAGGGACACCGCAACAGGCCGACTCAGCGGCGTGAGAGTGGTGCGGTCCCTAAAGAAGGAGCGAGACGCTCCAGAGTCAAGGGTGAAGGTGTGAGAGGCCGAAGCCGACACAGTACCTGAGAGGGCGGACTCACCAGTACCTGAGAGCACAGACGCACTGGCACCTAGAGCAGCAGCCTCACTAGTACCTGACGCGGCAGTACCAATGCCCGGGTCGGGCGGGAAACACCGGTAACAGTCATCCTCATCACTACCAGTCACAGCATACATAGCAGAGAGAATAGCATCAAAGTCAAGATCATAAATAGCTACACCAGACCTAGATAGCTCTCCCCAGCGGGGGATCTCAGCGGCCTCCGGAAACTGCTGACGCCAGGCGTCGGTCAGGCGGCCAAAGCAGCGACGGGCTGTGTGGGCGCCTCCACACCTCTCCCCTGCACAGTCACCAGTGCGAAGAACGTAGGGGCAGGGACCAAGCGCACCACCGGGCTGACGCTGCAAGTACCACTCACGGAGCTGCTGAGGGCCGGGGACGGTGCGAGAGCGCTGCTGCTGCTGCGGCTGCTGCTGCTGCTGCTGCTGCTGCTGCTACTGCTGCTGCTGGCGCTGGCCACCCCCAGAGCTGCTCCGCTGGGACGAGCCACTCCGACCCCCGCCTCCACCGCCACCCCCGCCTCCACCGCCACCCCCGTCTCCACCGCCACCTCCCCCACCAGGACTGTCGCTCCCACCGCTCCCACCGCCTCCTCCGCTACCACCTCCGCCGCCACCTCCGCCTCCACCGCCGCCACTAGTACCTCCACTCCCGCCACCACCCCCACCGCCACCCCGACTCCCCCCTCCACCCCCACCGCCTCCTCCACCGCCCCCTCTAGCTCCACCCGCTCCCTTGCCCCCCTTGCCCTTGCCAGAGCGGCGTCTGCCGCTGGGGGCAGACGCCGCGCCGACCGACTCAAAACCAGCGAGGTCGGCCGCAGCGGCAGAGGCGACAGAGGGCAGCAGGGGGGAAGGACCACACCCCTCAAAGATGGGGGTGCGAGGGTCACCCCGAGAGGCCCCTACAGCGACAATACTCTTCTCAGCCGCTAGCAGGGACTCCTCAAGGAGGTCGACAGTGAGAGTGGTGGGACAGACAGAGAGAAACTGGTCCCTAACGACACGAAGGGACTCAGGGAGACGGGTGACGAGAAAGTAGAGAGTGATGTACATGGGAGGAGGGTTCGCAGCGCGGAACTCAGCAGGAAGGGCAGCACGGTAGCGGGTGTCACTAGCGCGGAGGTGGGTAACGAGGTCAGCAACAGTGGGAAAGGAAGCGAGGTCAGGGAAGAGAAACGGTAGCATGAGGTGGCTAAGGGTAGCGGAGGAAGGGGAGGAGTAGCGTGCAACTACAGCGTCGTACAAGGCTTGAGCGGTCTTGCACTGACTAAAGTGGGCACGCTCAGAGGAAGGGAGGTGGCGACGCACAGCAAGACGTGCAGCAGCATCGCGGGTCGCCCACTTGGAGCGAGCAGCAGAGTCAGCATCAGCAGGCGGGGCAGGGACAGCACCAGAGACAAAGTCAAAGAGAGAGACCTCATCTATCGCATCACACAGTAAGTACAGCTGCAGGTCTTCAATCCAGACGGCAAAGTCAATGGCCCTCCCCTCAGCGTCAAAAGTAAGAACATTGGGGGTGGCCATGGCAGCAGCTGAAAGTCTCACCGGGCTAGGAGAGTCGGGTAGGTCAGCAGCAGAGGAACACAGCGCAGGAACAGCAGCACGGCTCCTCAGGTGGCTCGGGCGGCTCGGGCTGCTGGGGCGGCTCGGGCGGCTCGGGCGGCTCGGGCGGCTCGGGCGGCTCGGGCGGCTCGGGCGGCTCGGCTGCTGGGGCGGCTCGGCTGCTGGGGCGGCTCGGGCGGCTCGGCTGCTGGGGCGGCTCGGCTGCTGGGAGATGCAGCTGCGGGGCCGTCAGGCGCAGCGGCGGGCCGGCAGGTGCAGTGGCGGGGCCTTCAGGTGCAGCGGTGAGGCCGGCAGGTGCAGCGGCGGGCCGTCAGGTGAGGCGGCGGGGCCGTCAGGTGAGGTGGCGGGCCAGCAGGCGAGGCGGCGGGCCGTCAGGTGAGGCGGCGGGGCCGTCAGGTGAGGTGGCGGGCCAGTAGGTGAGGCGGCGGGCCGCCAGGTGAGGCGGCGGGGCCGTCAGGTGAGGTGGTGGGCCAGCAGGCGAGGCGGCGGGCCGTCAGGTGATGCGGCGGGCCGGCAGGTGAGGCGGCGGGCCGTCAGGTGAGGCAGCGGGCCGTCAGGTGAGGCGGCGGGCCGGCAGGCACGGCGGCGAGGCCGTTTGGTGAGGCGGCCGGGCCGGCAGATGCGGCGGCGAGGCCGGTAGGGTGCAGCGGCGGGGCCGACAGAGGTGCAGCGGCGGGGCCGGCTGCAGCGACGAGGAGGCCGCACGGCCGACGTGAGGGCGGCGCGGCGCGGCAGAGCCGAGAGGGCGGTGCGGCGCGGCCGTAAGGCCTGCGCGACGTGGGGCCCGGGCCGCGCGCGCAAAAAAAGAAGTCGCGCGCGCGACTCTCGGGGCGCCACAAGGGCAGCGCGACACGCACTAGGGGGGGGAGCGCGCCTCGGGGAGAATAGGGCGCGCTCCGGGCAGAAAACAAAAAAAATCGTGGGTGGGCCCAAAAAAAACGGTCCTTAAGAGGGACCCGCTCTATACCATGTGAAACTGAATGAACAAGAATGTGTGAACTATGAATGAAGGCAGTACAAATATGAAACCCTAACTGGGTTGTACCCCCTATGGGATACCCCACTACAGCCTACACAATAGTATAAGCTATAGATATGTTCTGACAGAGGTGAGCTTTGAGTTGACTCCAATCTCAATCTCGAATGGGCAGTGGCCCACGCGGGAGAGCACCTGAGGAGAATAGGGGTGTCGGAGAGGTGAGCATTGAGTTTTGAGTTTTTTAATTGACTTAAAACTCGATCTTGAAAGTCTAGTTGCCTCAACGGGAGAGCACTGCCGGGGATAGGGGTGGTGGCGGGGAGGTGGGCAATTGGGGATTCGACGTTTTTCAATCAGTGCTCCTTTTTCCAGTCACCACGATAAGAAGTGCCGCGATAGGCATAGCATGATCGGAGGCAGTGTTTTGAAAAGTTTCTCTTTAGCAGCAGACTCACGATTAGCAGGAGGAAGAGCAGCAGCAGGCCTTGGTGCAGAGAAGGTGGCGCAAGCAAGATTGACGAGAAGGTGAGAAGCGAGAGGAGGAGCAGCAGCGCTTGATAGATCAGCGCCGCACTGCCGACCTGGGAAGGAAATAGTCCAGCGGGAGAGTGGAAGGGAGAGGAGAGAGAGAGGAAGGTAGAGTGAGGATTGAAACATAGAGGAGGGAAGTGAGGTATGGATGTGAGATTATTTTCAGTGAGGGGCAGATGCAGAGGAGAGGAGAGGAGAGATGGAGGAGAAGGGCGGGGACGAGAGAAGAATGAGGGGGACGTTCAGGAGGAGGAGCGAGAAAGCGTCGGCGTCTAACCCTTGTTTCATCTCATGTTCCATAGTCCAAGTGCTCGCTCATCTCATAACACACCATCCCTCCCATCCCACTGCCTGCCCGCACCCCTTCCCTCTCCCAGCGAGCGTACCTGCAAAACGCAGTGATGTTTCAGTCGACTCAAAAGTCATCCCTTCCCTCTCCCAGCGAGCGTACCTGCAAAACGTAGTGATGTTTCAGTCGACTCAAAAGTCATCCCTTCCCTCTCCCAGCGAGCGTACCTGCAAAACGCAGTGATGTTTCAATCAACTCAAAAGTCACCCCTTTCCTCTCCCAGCGAGCGTACCTGCAAAATGCAGGGATGTTTCAGTCGAATCAAAAGTCACCCCTTCTCTCTCCCAGCGAGTGTACCTGCAAAACGCAGTGATGTTTCAGTCGACTCAAAAGTCACCCCTTTCCTCTCCCAGCGAGCGTACCTGCAAAACACAGGGATGTTTCAGTCGAATCAAAAGTCACCCCTTCCCTCTCCCAGGGAGCGTACCTGCAAAACGCAGTGATGTTTCAGTCGACTCAAAAGTCACCCCTTCCCTCTCCCAGCGAGTGTACCTGCAAAACGCAGTGATGTTTCAGTGGACTCAAAAGTCACCCCTTCCCTCTACCAGCGAGCGTACCTGCAAAACGCAGTGATGTTTCAGTCGACTCAAAAGTCACCCCTTCCCTCTCCCAGCGAGCGTATCTGCAAAACGCCGTTTCAGTGGACTCAAAAGTCACCCCTTCCCTCTACCAGCGAGCGTACCTGCAAAACGCAGTGATGTTTCAGTCGACTCAAAAGTCACCCCTTCCCTCTCCCAGCGAGCGTACCTGCAAAACGCCGAAGCGAGCGACGAGGGGCGACGACACCAACGTGGCTGCGAATCCCATGGCGGCACACGTGCTGTTGAACTCGCCCACCACGCCCATGTGCACGCCTGCCAGAATCAGGGTTTGGGGGTCGAGGTTTGGGGTATAGATTGGCCGTGGGTTCAGGTGGAGTTTTGAGGCGCCTCAAAAGTTGTGGGAGTCAAGGCGTGGGGCACACCTTGGCAGTGGGTTCAGGTGGAGTTTTGAGGCGCCTCAAAAGTTGTGGGATTCAAGGCGTGGGGCATACCTTGGCAGTGGGTTCAGGTGGAGTTTTGAGGCGCCTCAAAAGTTGTGGGATTCAAGGCGTGGGGCATACCTTGGCAGTGGGTTCAGGTGGAGTTTTGAGGCGCCTCAAAAGTTGTGGGATTCAAGGCGTGGGGCATACCTTGGCAGTGGGTTCAGGTGGAGTTTTGAGGCGCCTCAAAAGTTGTGGGAGTCAAGGCGTGGGGCATACCTTGGCAGTGGGTTCAGGTGGAGTTTTGAGGCGCCTCAAAAGTTGTGGGAGTCAAGGCGTGGGGCATACCTTGGCAGTGGGTTCAGGTGGAGTTTTGAGGCGCCTCAAAAGTTGTGGGAGTCAAGGCGTGGGGCATACCTTGGCAGTGGGTTCAGGTGGAGTTTTGAGGCGCCTCAAAAGTTGTGGGAGTCAAGGCGTGGGGCATACCTTGGCAGTGGGTTCAGGTGGAGTTTTCAGCGCTGTGCATGTGCGTGCATGGGGGCATGTGTGCATGGGGGCATGTGTGCATGGGGGCATGTGTGCATGGGGGCATGTGTGCGTGGGGGCATGTGTGCGTGGGGGCATGTGTGCGTGGGGGCATGTGTGCATGTGTGCACGTGTTTGTGCAGTGCATGCGTGTGTGCATTTATGCGTGCATAGAGCCCTGTGTGCATATGCGTATATGCAAGTGGAGTGCCCCACTCACCATGGAGCGTGAGGTAGGAGGTCATGAGTCCCCCGGGTGTGAGAACGCCATTCAAGCACAGCAGCACATACGCCATACTCGCAGGCATCACCAACTGCCGTTCATAGCTTCGAAACCCCTTCCCCTCTACTTCAACTTCAGCTTCATCCACCCTTCAGCAGCACATACGCCATACTCCCGCTGCGTCCGCTTCTGCTGATGCTGCCACACCTGCCACTCCTGCAGGACTTCCCATCCCTGCTGCTGGCGCTCCTACTGCTCAGCCTCTTGGAAGTCCCTGCTGGGATGAATGGGCAGGGTCAGGGATCGCCTCTGCTGCTGCTGCTGCTGCTTCTGGTGGTGTTGATGCAAGTGCTAGTGCTGCTGCAACGGCCACCATGCAGAGTGATGCTGGGGGTGTTCCAAAAGCAAGGACACCCCATGTGGGGCATGTGGGACCTGCGTCCTGCCCCACCTTCTTTACTAGCAAAGCCGATTGTGCCTCTTCTCTTTCCCCCTCCTCCTCCTCCTCCTCCTCCTCCTCCTCCTCCTCCTCCTCCTCCTCCTCCTCCTCCTCCTCCTCCTCCTCCTCCTCCTCCACCTCCTCCTTCGCTGATGGCTGCATCTCTGGCTGCGATGATCCTTCACTTGCCGTTGTAGGTTGTGCGTGCAGAGGTTGGGGGTATATGCTTCCAGCACTGGAGGTTACTGCCTCCCCTTGTGTTGCCTCTGTCAAGTCAGGAGCGTGGGTGGTAGCGTTGTGGTTTTCAGTTGCAGCAGTGGGAAGAGTCGAACCACCGTCATTATCATCATTATTATCACCAGCAGCAGCGGCGGCGGCGGCGGTGGCATCAGGAGTATCGCAATTGACGCTAACAACACAGTCACATGGCAAATCTGGCGTCAACCGAAGTGATCCTGGTGCAGACCAGATCGGCCCTTGCGTCGATCGAAACGAGCCGAGCGCCAACCGGAGCGATTGTGATGTTGACAGAACATCCCCTGGTGTTAACCTGAACGACCCAAATGCCGTTCGCAACGATCCTTGTGTCGATTCAGAAAATGTTTCGAGAGTCCGAGGCTGGCTGAGGGCTCCTTTGGAGAGATGGTTTGTCAGACGCGTTAGAGCGAGCTACTGAGGGGGGATGAGGTGTGCGTGTGTGTGCATGTGCGTGTGCGAGTGAGAGAGAAAGGGGGGGGGGCGAGAAGGGGAGAGGGAGGGGGGAGGAGAGGGGGATGAGAGAGGTGGGGAAGGGTGGATTGGGGAGGGGGGAGGGAAGGAGGGGGAGAGAGAGGGAATACATTAAGACAAGCAGGCTGTTGGAGTAGAAGGAAGAATAACCTTTTCTATGTGCACGAGGTAGAGTGCAATGAGGCTTTTGAGAATTCTTAGAAGCAATCCAGAATGTAATATTCAGTATCGATTATCGAGTATACGGTACATTTAAGCATTCCTAGGGGTGAAGGTGAATACGTACCGGGACAGGGAGGGAGAGTGCAACGAGGGCAAGGCATGCTTGGGCGCAGACCAGCGGGCCCCAAGCTGCAATGAGCCATCCGAAGGTGAGCTTGCTGCCACCTGCACGTGGCGCTGTGAGCGAGGGGGGGAGGGAGTGGGGTAGCAGAAGAGAGTAGCGTAGCAGAGGGAAGAGCAAGGATGACTTTGAGTTGACTCAGAGAGTGACCTCGTGGCGTGAGTGAGGGGGGGCGTGGGGTAGCAGAAAAGTGTAGTATAGCAGAGGGAAGAGCAAGGAAGAAAAGGCAGGGATTTGACTGTAAAGGGTACGCCATTCTTCCCTCCCTGCCCTTGTGGCACACCAATAATGGGTCCATCCAGGGATTACTTTTGAGGCGCCTCAAAAGTCCCTCCCTGCCCTTGTGGCACACTACCGTATTATCCCGGATAGTAGCGCCCATGCGCTTATAATAAAATCAGTTTTTTGGGGGGGGGGAGGGGGGGGGGGGCGCTTTTAATTGAGTATCGGCCATAAGCGCCGGCGCTTATATAATGACAAATACAGAAATACAACTTAAACGCATCAGATTGTACATTACCGTCTCGTAAGTTTTGTCAGAACATATATTGCATATGTTTTGTATAAGTGCATGTAGTCTAGCTGTAGTGTAGTCACATAGGTGTTCTCTGTGGTGATGCACCACTCCTTGCATGCTTCTCCTCTATTTGTACTTCTCATTCTGTAGTACAACCCCCTTCTTGCTTGGACAACTCTCTCTTGCCTAGGTCTAAACCCTAGACCACTGTCATGGCTATGCCTACTATTCAAACAAGTTAAAACGAGTCGACATTTTATAGCATCCTGAATTTGAATCGCGTGAGGGCGAATCTCTGATGCTGCACATAGCTTTTCGCACGTCAATTTTCCCGCATGCCACTGCATCCTGACTGGACGTGAAACCAGGGCTGGTGTAGCGATCCCTCGCTGGGATGAGCTTCTCAGGGCTGGTGTAGCGATCTTTGATCTTGATTTTGATGCTATCCTTACTGCTATGTATGTTGTGGATTATAGTGAGGAGAATGAGGGTTACCGGTGTTTCCAGCCCGACCCGGGCATTGGTACTGCTGCGCTAGGTGCTTGTGAGGCTGCTGCTCTAGGTGCCAGTGCGTCTGCGCTCTCAGGTACTGGTGAGACTGCGTTCTCAGGTACTGAGTCGTCCTCGTCCTCCCTCACTTTCACACTTGACTCCGGAGCTTCTCGCTCCTTCTTTCGAGACCGCACTACCCTTTCGCCGCTCGCCAGGCCGGTTGCGGTCTCCCTTGCTGACCCCTCTGGGGGTCCTGTCCTGTCTCACTTCTCCACTGTCCTCCCGTGTCCGGCTGCCCCTTCGGGCACCCTGTCGGGTCTGTACCTTCCCTCGTTCTCTACGAACTTGGTGAGTGGAGCGGACCTGCAGGATGGGGGTGTTCACCAGTTCACTCCTACGCGTCAGCGGGTGACCCACTGCACGGAGGCTCGCACAGGCCGACACCTGGCCACGTTCTCGCGTCGGCCGGGGTCGAGTCTCTACACCCTGACCGTTGAGTCTCCTCATGTCCCTGCGTCTGGTCAGGTGGCTGCGTCGGGTCAGGTACTTGCTGCTGCGTCCCGGTCAGGTCCTGAGTCTGCCCCCTGTTCTTGTCGCCTCCTGTCTCACGAGACTCTCCTGTGGCACCACCGTCTTGGCCACCCCTCCTTGCCCCGTCTTCGGAGCATGGCTTCCCGTGTCCTTGTCTCTGGTCTTCCCCAGTCTCTCCCTCCTCTCCCCTCCGGGCCAGGACCTTCCTGTGTCCCCTGTGTCGAGGGTCGCCTCCAGGCTACTCCTCACTCCTCCCACTTCCCCCCGACAGAGGCTCCCCTGCAGACGCTTCACATGGATGTGTGGGGCCCAGCCCCCGTCCGTGGGCAGGGTTACGAGCGATACTTCCTGTTGGTGGTTGACGACTACTCGCGTTACACCACAGTCCTCCCCTTGCGCAGCAAGGTTGCGGTCACTGAGGTGCTGATCGACTGGATCCGCGAGGCTCGTCTCCAGCTCAGGAAGAGCTTCGGCTCGGACTTTCCTGTTCTGCGTCTGCACTCTGACAGAGGCGGAGAGTTCTCTTCTCGCCTTCTGCGAGACTACTGTCGTGCACGGGGGATCCGCCAGACCTTCACGCTTCCGGACTCACCACAGCAAAATGGGATTGCTGAGCGCCGCATTGGCATGGTCATGGATGTCGCTCGTACGTCCATGATGCATGCGGTTGCCCCCCATTTTCTGTGGCCGTTTGCGGTGAGGTACGCGGCGCATCAGCTCAACCTTCACCCCCGGGTCTCTCGGCCTGCGATGTCCCCAGTCTTGCTGTGGACAGGGAAGGTTGGCGATGCGTCTGTGTTCCGTGTCTGGGGATCTCGGGCGTTTGTCCGCGACTTGTCTGCAGACAAGCTGTCCCCTCGTGCTGCTCCCTGTGTCTTTCTTGGCTTCCCCACTGACGCCCCAGGGTGGCAGTTTTACCACCCCTCCTCTCGTCGTGTTCTGTCCTCCCAGGACGTCACGTTCGACGAGTCAGTCCCCTTCTACCGTCTCTTCCCCTACCGCACTCCTTCCCTCCCCCCTCCCCCGGACTTCCTTGTGCCGATTCCCCCCCCGGTAGACCCCCTCCCCCCTCAGGTTCCTGCCCCCTCAGGTGTGTCCCAGGTAGACGCCGTTGACCCGGTCGAGGTTACTGGTGACTCTGGTCCTGCTGCGGGTGCTGAGCCTGGGGGTGCTGACTCTGGGGGTACTGTGCGCGGGGGTGCTGTGCTTGGGGGTGCTACTGCTGGGGGTGCTGGGCCTGAGGGTGCTACTGCGGTGGGTGCGGAGCCTGGGGGTGCTGAGCCGGGGGGTGCTGTGCCTGGAGGTGCTGGGTCTGGGGGTGCTGGGTCGGGAGCTGCTGAGCCTGGGGTTTCTCCTGCTGCTGCGTCTCGCCGGGAGCCCCTCTCTCCACAGGAGCTGCGCGAGTGGTTCGCTCGCCGCTGGAGGCGTGCTGCTGAGTCTCGAGGTGCTGCTGGAGCTGGAGCTGGAGCTTCTTCGATCGTCGAGGGTGCGGGTGCTGCCGGTCCCGGAGCTGCTGGACCTGCGGGTCCTCCTGGAGCTGGAGCTGCTGAGGGCGTTCGTGCTGCCGGTCCCGGAGCTGCTGGACCTGCGGGTCCTCCTGGAGCTGGAGCTGCTGAGGGCGTTCGTGCTGAGCCTGCTGCTGTTGGTCCTGCCGCTGGAGGTGTGGGTGGCGCTGGTGCTGTCGCTGAGGGTGCTGGTGCTGTCCCTGCTGAGACTGGAGCTGCCGCGCGGCCTCGGCCGTACTTCGTTCCGCTCCTTCAGCAGGTTCTTGGTCTTTCTCCTCCAGTAGAGGGTCCACCGCCTGTCCAGTCGCAGTCCCTACTGGAGCCTTCCTCTCCACTGCCTGCTCCCTCTCCTTACACTGGTCCTACTGGAGGTCTTGCTGAGCGTCGTGAGCCTGCGTCTCGCCCCGCGTCGCCTGTTCGTGCTGCTCGCGCTAGTGGTCGCATTTCGCGTCAGCGTCCTCCTCCTGTCCCTGGCACGCACCGGATGTCTCTGCGTCCGTCCACTCCTCCTCTGCGTGCCCCTTTGCCTTCTCCTCCTGAGTCCTCTCTTCCTGCGCTTGCCGACCCTGAGTCGGACTCTCTTCGCGCTACCAGTCCTACTGTCACGCGTCTGCTTGCTACTGTCGTCACTGACCCCTCTTTTGAGTCCACTGCTGCGTCTGCTCTAGTCGCTGAGCTCGTCGACTTTGCTGCTCGCTGTCGTCTCGACTACGCTGCTAGTCTTGTTGCTGAGTCTGCGTCTGTCTGTCCTCCGTCCGTCGGGGGTGAGTGTGCTCTTTGCACGGACGTCGTAGAGGACAGGCAGGAGGAGTTACAGTGTCTAGCGGCTGCTTCACCTCATCTCGCGTCTGTACTGCTTGCCCCTGAGGGAGACCCGGATGCACTAGACATCCCGACTCCGCGTTCTTACGCGGAGGCCGTAGAGGGCCCCTACTCCTCTCAGTGGCAGGCAGCCATGGATGCAGAGATGGCTTCCTGGAAGTCCACAGGCACCTACGTTGACGCGGTTCCCCCTCCTGGGGCGAACATCGTCAGTGGCATGTGG